ATGGAGAACAATGGACTGGATTATGGTGGGAACATGCTCAAGAATCAATTTGAACTGGATTAAAAAAAGTTTTATCAACCATTCTATATTCTGATGCTACCACATTAGTCCATATCAGCAAAAGTACTGAGCATCCTGTTTATTTATCATTGGTAATATTCCCAATTGGCATAGAAATAAATGTAATGCCAAAGTATTACTAGGTTTTTTTACCAAAACTAAAGTCACTTCATAATCGTAAAGATAATAAAGCTAATTTTGCATCTGCCAAAAGAATTCTATATCAACATTGTTTTAATATTATGACACAACCAATACACAAAAGTCTAGGAAACAATGACTTGAATATTAAAACAGACACTTGAGTAATTTGGGCCTTTCCATTTCTTTCTGAATTCATTGGTGATTTGCCCGAGGATGCAGCATTGACATTAACTTACAATTCAGCCAGATGCAAATGTCCCTGTCATATCTGTATCATAAAAATTGATGAATTAAGCAATCCTAATTTACCTCAGTCTCAAATAAGATTGTGAATACATGAAAATATGCAACTTGTTTTAATGGTAATCTTTGTCATGAATATTCTATTCATTCACACGAAACATCTTTTGGAAGTTTCAGTAAGCAATATATATACAGAAAATCATTAGTTTTAATGTCTTTGTTTTTTTTATAGTGAGCTGAATATTTATAGTACAACAGTCCCAGATCACATGCATCATTGTGATTTGAGATTATTCAATTATATTGTGGACAAGAAGGTATCAATGAATTCAACAAATGTTTGGCAGAAATTCCACGTTTTCCTGGATTCAAATCTTTCAAACATGGTCTTGGTAATATTGTATGTTTTACTGTAGCAGAGTTCCGAAGCATGATGAAGCAATTAGTTTTTGTTATTGATGATTTAATAGTTGTTAAACACAAGCCAATTTTAAATCTAGCCAGGCAAAACTATGCAATAAAAAACTTATGGATATATTTGTTGTAAGGAAACTTTTATGGATTCTGAACTTGTAAATTTTCAGGTAATTTTTATAAAGGTTTAAAATAAATGTTCCTATTATTTTTTAATATCAAACTTTAATTATTATTATTATTATTAAGGATACCAGCTGCAACTTTTGATGATGGTTGCTACCATCTTTGCAACTACCTTTACGATCATTTTGTTTCCTCTTTTGGATTGCGACATGGAACACTAATTATTATTATAGATGATTACTGATTGGCAAAAAAGTTTATCAGCTTGTTCACAACAGTTGTAGATACTGGAATGAAGTATCCAAAGTTGCACAATTGGTGTTATCATATCATTGATATAGTGAAAGAATATGGTGCTATCAATAGTTTTACCGCTGAGACCTATGAGTCATTACATAGATTTTGTGTCAAGATCCCATATAGAATTAGTAATCACTGAGATGTAACTTTACAAATAGTTAATACTGTAATATAAATTATTTTTATAAATGATAATATATGTTTAAGAATTACTGATGAAAGTTAACACAACTCTATTGTAAATTCAGGTACAACATGACAGGATCCTTAGTTATAGCATCATTACCTTCTATTGGAAAACACAATCATCAAATTTCAACACTAAGTGGTATTGAAGGCAATTTTACATTATCCACTTTTGACAGCTTTATTAATATATACAAGACTTCACATCATTTGGCATCTGAAGCTGAAAAAGCATTTGATGTGCTGATTGATTCATTAAATGAGTATTTTGATTTTATTTTAAAGCAACTCTTATGAAATGGTACACTAATTAATGCATTTGTCAGAGGAACTGATATTGTGCGAGCTAAAAGTAAATATTACAATGCACCTGCATTTAGTGACATTGCAATAAATATGAATGAGGAAGAGGCAAAAGAGTATAACACAATTGATGGTATGTGCTTTGCTAAGGTAAATTAAAAATTATTATTTAAATTAATCTTTGAATTTTTATTTATTAATATACAGTCCCCAGCGAAAGTAATGGTGTGTAATTTTTTATGAATAAAAAATGTACTTTATTATAAATTTAAAAAAAAGATTTTTTGTTTCTTAAAGCCAAATAGTATGGCTATAACTTTTGTTATTGTTAGTACTTTGTATGAGCTCCTTCAGCATCTATGAATGCCTGACCCAATTTTGCATACTATTAACTATAACGTTTTTTCAATTCCTCCCTAATAATACCGATAAATTTATCTTTTTTTTTTCTGCTATCATTTTTTTGATGTGTTTTTCAACATTAAGCTTGAAAATAGCCTATATATTCTCAATAGGATTAAGATCTGGGCTATATGAAGGCCAGGAGAGAACATGTCTTGGAAGGCAGGTATTCAGATCATTCGTAATGTCCCTAGATGTATACTTAGGGTTGTTATCTTGCTGAAAGACCCATATGCCACCTACTAATGCATCAGCATCATCATAAAGTTGTTTGTTTAAAATTTTACAATATATGTGGCTTTTCAGTAAAGATATGAATACTGCCCTTCCCTTTAAATTGATAGCACCCCAAACATGAACCTTAAGGGGATGTTTTACCATAGGCTGGACAGGTTTCTTTTCACAAGACCATGCTAGTATCGTATTGTGAAACAACTGGATAGTTATTTTGTCTGAAAAAATAACTTTCTTCCAGTTGTAATGCACATGATCTTGTGCCCATGACAAGTGGTTAATCTTTGCTTGTTCTATTAGAAGAGGAACTTTTCTGGGAAGAGTAGCAAAATAACCGAGGTTGAAAAGCTCATGGTGAACAGTTCTCTCACTAACTTTGAGATCTTGGTATTTTTCTTCTAAAATAGCTTTCATTTCAGTGGCGGTCCTATAGTGGTTACTCTTGACGATCATTCCGAGTTGGCACCATTTTTCCGATGATAATTTTCGCGGACGACCTGACTGATGAATTTCCAGAATTTTTCCATTTTTTTTTAATATGGTGATGTATCGTTGACATGTACGTAATGGGATCCCAGTTTTATTTGAAATTTCTTTCAGAGTACGAATATTTTGCTTCCAGAGAAAGTTAATGGCATTATGGTTGGCTTTAATAGGGTTTGATGACATTTTACAAGGCAAAGTAAACAAAAAACACTGATGATGATCATTATTTTTTTTATTTACTTTTATGGTTACTATCTATATACGCGACTCAATGACAAATAAACATTATAAATGAATGTTTTATGGTATTATGCCTGAATAAGTAATTCGAATATTCGTGCCATTACTTTTGCCGGGGACTGTACTTTCATAAATAATAATTGTAAATTAGGTTCTTTTGATCTCCTTTTTTTTAAAAAACTTTACTGAATCCAATCTGCATAAAATTCTTGACATGCTATTAATTTTCTATAAAATAGTTTTTCATGAACCTCTCTAAAACTTATTAACAAACACCCCAATAAAGTAATGATAATATGAAAGCTTAGAGTATTTTGCACCTCTTCAGTCATTATCAGGTCTTTTAAAGCAATATTGAAAAATAATCTGAGCTTTGAAGTGAAGTGAAAAAGTAACACCATTTTTGAATAGATGTAAATTTATATAGAGAAGACCTTTTGATATGAAAGAGTATTCATTAGAAAGCTTTAATGGAGTATTTTCATTTTATTCTAACAACGAAATTTGAGTTTATTATAAACATAATGAGATATTTTAAAAAAAACTTCATGTGACACGAATTAGAAATTTTTGAAAGGACATGTCACACAACTAGTATGGTTACACCCGGGCATTGAATTTTATACACTGGTTACACCCCCATTCCCCGCACTGAATTTTCAACACTGGCTGAGGGTGGCAGGAATTACAGAGTGTTTATCAACTCCAAGAATTAATTCTTATTTGCCACATAGGTTCTGTATATTTCATAAAAAGAACCTTTCTGTATATAATATTACCCTAAAAAATATTATGTATCACTATAATTTTCTTTTATTAAGTACGCAAAAGCAGTGTTGAAAATTCAATCAGGGTGTCACGTTGCACAAATTATGTGCACGTCTATTTTTTTAATTAAAAAGAATTATTTATTTATTATTTTATAAAA